ATATATAAATATATATATATAGGTGTGTGTGTTTGTGTTTAGTGGCATAGTTTATGTGGTCCAAAGCTGCTGGAACTGATGGACATCAAGTGACTTTTTTCCACCGTAAAGCAAAACTAACCTTAAGGCCTCATTCACATGGGGTGTATTGCCCTGTAAAGTATGAAGGGCCATTTTTTGATGCCCGGTGGGTGGCTTATGTAAGTCTATGGAGATGCAGGAGCTATGCGCCCCCACTTTCTGCCGATTTTTCTCAACCGCACACAGATGGCCTTGGACAGAGATCTGTACACCATCTGTGTGTGGTTGTCAAAACTCAGAGCTGCGGGAAGCAGTGTGTGAGGGAGCACAGCTCCTGTGTCTCCATAGACTTACATGAGCTGCCCACATGCTTCTTACGGCCACTCCAAGCGCATCAATAAAATTGTTCATGTCAACATGCCGAGTATGAATGTTGTAAATTTTGGCATATGACTCCTCCTTGCAGCTTGTGGTTTGGTTCTGTTTTGGGGCTCATTCACATGGGTGTGCTCATCTCTATAGTGTACACACTGGTGCAGGGACCTGTTCCCGTGAGGGACAGGTGCTGCATGTAATTGCATGCAGCCTCTTGTACCTCTCAATGGCTACACATATGTGCAGTTTCGGGTGCCCGCACATGGATGCTGACAGTGTGCATGCCCGTATGAATGAGCCCTTTATAACCATATACAGTACTGGTGTCCTAAATGTCCTGGTGACTGGGGTGTCTACCCTCTGTAAATAATAAATAACCTCAATCAACAAAATCTTTCCATAGTAATTTTCAATATTTTGAAATCATTTCCTTAAAATAATTCTTGGTGATCCTGCCATAAAGGTATTTGTTCAGACACTTCCTGTTATAAGGTTGCAGCACTCTGACCCCGTCTCCTAATTATGCTGTGTTGTCACCCTGACACTGAATTTTGTTTGGTTAGGGCTTACATCTGCTTTGAATGGTTTGATTCTTGAAGTGTCAAGTAACAAGTTATACAGGAACTTCCAGGCTGCTCTGTCACTTTGCTCTCTGCTGGAGTATTGCCCGATGACCTGTGCTGATGATAGCGGTGGTGACAGCAGCACAGGAAGTGACTTCATGACAGAGACAATAACTTCAGGGTCAAATAAAAAAAATGCTTGCTGGAGGAAATCTTCCAACACAACCCAAAGTGACAGGACAGGCAGGAAATTCCTTTCTTGAATGACAGATGACATCACACATAGAGGAGCGTCTCTAGCTGGCAATCAGAACACGTTTTACAAAATTCAGGACAATCATAGAATAGTATTAAAAAATTACCGTAAAATGAATAAAAGGACAGATAACCTGCAGAAATACAATGAAAATGTATAATAGATATTTCAATTTAAGGGGAACTCCAGCAAACTCCTACCATGTATTTTGAGATCTTTGACGGGTGGGGGATGGGGGATTGGGTGGGGGATGTTAAAACTCGTATGCACCGATACCGATACTCATACTCGTGAAAAGGCCCTGATACCAAAAAAAATTATATCAGCATTTAAATTTTTCATATTGATTCGGCTGCCTCAGTTGCTGGGCTGGGGACCTCTGGGCACCCTTCTTGGAAACCACATGGTGCCTGCTTATAGAGCTTCCACCACCCATACATCTCCCCTTGATGGGACTCTCGCACATCTCCCCCTTCTGAGACCCCCGCACCTCTCCCTCCTGAGACCCTCCCCCCAAGACATCGGGCAAAGCGGCAGCACAGAGTATGTAGCAATATATTATTCTGCATTGCTGTATAAAGTATTGCAGGGATTTGTCATCCTCTATAGCTGATGATATTATTCTGCATTGTTGTATAATGTATTGTTGGGATTTGTAGTCCTCTATTGCCGGTGGTATTATAATAATACCATCATCTATGAAGGACTACTAATCCCAGCAATAAATTACACAGCAATGCAGAATGGCAACTGGCTATAGAGGACTACAAATCTCAGCAATAAATTATGCAGCAATCCAGAAAATACTATTATGGAGTCAGTGACAGAATTACCAGGGTCACACCCGACCCTGGTGCTCCACCGCTGTCCTAAAGTCATTGGTCTGTATTGTTTTAGAAAATTTGTCACATAACACTAAAAAAAAATGTATCGTAATTGGAATCGGCGAGTACTTAAGGAAAAGTATCGGCACTCGTACTCAGTCTGGAAAAAATGGTATCAGTGCATCCCTAGTTAGAACCTCAGTCAGGTGTTTATTATCACTTCCTGTCCTAGTGATTTTTTTTCCTTCTACCAGTGCTAGCATCCTCTGGCAGAACTTAAAGAACTCCAGGAATTTTTTTTATTTACCCTTGCAGTGGGGCTCCCCCTGCATTGCAAGCATTGAGTGCATATTTGTTTCTATGTTAAAATAAAAACGTATACTGAACCAAAGCTCTGTGCTGGCTTCTTCCAAGGGTCTATTACAGGGTCTATCTACATCATCTACTTTGTAGCTGCGTTGGCCTTTGTCACGGATGGTCCCCTTTCACACCACCGCGTTGGTGATGTGCACTGAAAAAAGTAAGGCATGCCTTACTTGGTGATCCTGCCATACAGGTATTTGTTCAGACGCTTCCTGTTATAAGGTTGCAGCACTCTGACCCCGTCTCCTAATTATGCTGCGTTGTCACCCTGACACTGAATTTAATTTGGTTAGGGTTTTCATCCTTTGACTGGTTTGATTCTTTTATTAGGGAGACAGTCAGTAGTGTCAAGTAACATGTTATACAAGAACTTCCAGGCTGTTCTGTCACTTTGCTCTCTGCTGGAGGATTGCTCGATGACCTGTGCTGATAATAGCGGTGGTGGAAGTAGCACAGGAAGTGACTTCATGACAGAGACAATAACTTCAGGGTCAGACATAAAAAATGCTCGGTGGAGGAAATCTTCCAACGCAACCAAAAGTGACAGGACAGGCAGGAAATTCCTTTCCTGAATGACAGATGACATTAAACATAGGGGAGAGTCTCTAGCTGGCAGAACATGTTTTACCAAATTATTGACAATAATAGAATAGTATTAAAAAGATTATACAATAGTTAATGATTAAAAAGACAGATAACCTGCAGAAATACATGAAAATGTATAATAGATATTTCAATTTAAGGGGAACTTTTGTTTTGAGGTTTTTGAGGGAAGTGTTAGAACTAAGGATGCACCAATACCGATACAAGTATCGGTACCGATACTGGCCATTTCCATGAGTACTTGTACTTGTAAAAATGCCCTGATACCAAGAACCGATACTGGCGCTTTAATTTTTCAAATTAATTCGGGGGCTTTGGATCATGCCCTCGCTGGGGACCTCGCGGCAACCTTCTTGGGAACCACAAGGTGCCTGCTTACAGTGCTTCCGCTACCCACACATCTCCTTCTCCTGAAACGCTCACACATCTCCCCCTCTTGAGATCCCCCACACATCTCCCCCTCCTGAGACGCTCACACATCTCTCCCTCCTGTGACCCTCCGCACATCTCCCCCTCCTGAGACCCTCCGCACATCTCCCCCTCCTGAGACCCTCCACACATCTCCCCCTCCTGAGACCCTCCACACATCTCCCCCTCCTGAGACCCTCCACACATGTCCCCCTCCTGAGACCCTCCACACATGTCCCCCTCCTGAGACCCTCCACACATGTCCCCCTCCTGAGACCCTCCACACATCTCCCCCTGCTGAGACCCACCACACATCTCCCCCTCCTGAGACCCTCCACGCATCTCCCCCTGCACCCCGGAGAAGAGCGGTAGCTTGGAGTATGTAGCAATATATAATTCAGCATTGTTGTATAATGTATTGCTGGGATTTTTAGTCCTCTATTGCTGATGGTATTATAATAAGCAATGCAGAATGGCAACTGGCAATAGAGGACTACAAATCCCAGCGATAAATTATACAGCAATGCAGAATAATACTATTATGGAGTCAGTGGCAGAACTACCAGGGCCACACCGGACACTGGCGCTCTACCACTGTCCTAAAATCATTAGTCTGTATTAGTCACATAACACACACATACACACACACACACACACACACACACACAAAAAAAGGTATCGGTAGTTGGTATCGGCGAGTACTTGAGGAAAGGTTTCGGTACTTGTACTCAGTCTGGAAAAAATGGTATTGGTGTATCCCTAGTTAGAACCTTTATCAGGTGTTTATTATCACTTCCTGTCCCAGTGACTTTTTCCTTCTACCAGTGCTAGCATCCTCTGGCAGAACTTAAAGAACTCCAGGAATTTTTTTTATTTACCCTTGCAGTGGGGCTCCCCCTGCATTGAGTGCACATTTGGTAAAAAAAAAAAAAACAGTTACTCACCCGAAGCTCTGTGCCGGCTTCTTCCAAGAGTCCATTCACACCATCTGCTTTGGAGCTGCACTGGCCTTGTCACGGATGGTGCCCATTCACATCACTTCGTTGGTGATGTGCGCAGCCGGATGCAACGTGGTACAAGCACCTCGCACCCCGTTCTAAGAACACTCTAACAAAAATGGATGCATTTTTCATGCGTTGTCACCATTTCTCATGAATTTCTATTGAAGTCTATAGGGCCACAAAATGCTTTATGTAGCACCAAAAGAAATACCTGCACCTTTTCAAATATTGCACTGCATTGTGTTGCATAGGTTCAAACGGGCACTACAGAGAATAATAGGATTTCTATTGTAATGCGCAGGAGATGCACAACAAATCACACTGTAAACTGGGGCATACACCTTGTTGATATCGCATAACAGAAGCACTGCAGGGCGCTCTTGTGGTGCGCTCTGGTGAGCAGCCCATTCCTTTGAGTGCCTACCAGAGCTAAATAGCGTTGAAAGAGGTTTGTGCACTTCTTTTCCAAATGGCATTTTTTGTAAATCACATCACACTATATTACATAGTAATAGGTCTCAGGTACAAGAGGGCAGCAGACCGTCCATTTATGTGCAGTGGTTGGTCTACAAAAGGTTAACTTGCAAAAGTGTTATACAGGTACGTCCTCCCGGAACAATAGGGCAACAGATCAGCCATTTTTCTGCAGGGGTCGATCCACAAGAGGTTATCTTGCAAAAGTGTTATACAGGTACGTCCTCCCAGAACAGTAGGGCAGAGGACTGGCCATTTCTGTGCAGTGGCCGGTCCACAAGAGGTTATCTTGCAAAAGTGTTATACAGGTACGTCATCCCAGAACAATAGGGCAGGGGACTGGCCATTTATGTACACCGGTCGGTCCACAAGAGGTTATCTTGCAAAAGTGTTATACAGGTACGTCCTCCCAGAACAATAGGGCAGCAGTCCAGCCATTTATGTGCAGTGGCCGGTCCACAAGAGGTTATCTTGCAAAAGCGTTATACAGGTACGTCCTCCCAGAACAATAGGGTAGCAGTCCAGCCATTTACTGTATGTGCAGTGGCCGGTCCACAAGAGGTCATTTCGCAAAAGTGTTATACAGGTACGTCCTCCCGGAACAATAGGGCAGCAGTCCAGCCATTTATGTGCAGTGGTCGGTCCACAAGTGGTCGCTCCCGGAACAATAGGGCAGTGGAGTGGCGGTTTATGTGCCATTTAGGTGGAGTGGTTGGTCTGCAGGAGGTTACTTTGCAAAAGGGTTAAACTGTGCTAAACCTTTCATCTGACCTCTGAATTATTGACGTTACTATTTTAAAGGAAAAGTAGCAATTATGTATGCACCGATACCGGGTTTTTGATATCAAGTACCAATATTTTTTTTATCAGTACTCGCCGATGCTGAGTACCGATACTGGCATCCCAAGGTAGCGTGGGCCCGGCTTTCCGGCCAATCAGGAGGGCGGGTGGCGGGTCCTGACCCTCCGCCCAGCTTCCTGATGGCCTGGGAAGCCGGCTTCATGCTTCCTCGCGACACTGCGGGGCAGCCTGGTTTCCTGACCAATTAGACTGGCTCCATGCTCCTTCGCGACACTGTGGAAGTTCTGGTATCAGGGGTAAGTATCGGAGCATTTGGGCAGGCACGAGCACTGGGATCGGTCTATCAGTTAGATGGGACCAAGGATTGGGTGATTATATTTTCTTTATTTGCACCCCTAGACCTAAACAAGCAATTAACCCTTGCAATGCAGGGGTAGCCCCACTGTGAGGGTTCATTTTACTAAAACCTGGAGTTCTCCTTTAACCATGCATTCTTTGAGCATTAACTCTTCATGGTTCGTGTAACTGGGGGCATTGTATGGGTGTGGCTTTTACCTACATACTTTGTGCTGGAGGATGTCCCTTTATCTCATAACAGAAATGTAATAGGCATGCAATAAAGTTAAAGTAGAACCCTATATTTTGTAGGTTTTGGATAGAGTAAAGGAAGGTTATAATCCCTGTCAGCATTTTTTTCTGCCATCTGTGTCCCAGTGGGGAGAATTCCCTTCACTACCTGTCCGATAACCGCAACAGGATGTGAGAGGAAATCTCTGGTGGTCAACAGGGTCACCAGACCCAGTGTCCCCATTGAAAGATTTCCCATCTATTCCTCTTCTGGTGACAATCCACCAGAACAGGAACACAGACAGCAATATAAACCTGGCAGGTGTTCTAGTCCCTCTCCACCCTATCCAAAAATAAAAAAATAAAAATTTTGGCTTTAGTTGCACTTTAATTTAAAACTTGTAGCTTTTCAGATTTTGTGTATTCGTATTTGTAGGTTTTGGGCTAAAACATTTACAGATATACGTAACACAGATAAAGCATGGTTGTGTATATAAAATGTCAATTGCTATAAAGTTGTTTTTGTTGTGATTCTGAGGTCACTTCCTGTGCTGCTTTTATTCCCGGCACTGTCAAAACAGACAGTGCAAGAATCTTCCAACACAGCAATGTGTGACAGTGCAACCAGGAAATTCTTTCTGAGTTTCTCTGGTTGCCAGGTTACAGGAGGTTTGGCAAATGAACGTAGTGTGTGTATATATAGCCGTCTGGTTTTCACAAAGCATGCACAGCCACAGAGATAAGAGCAAGCAAATCCTTACTGATTTGGAGAAGGAGAAAACTTGCAACAATGGGTATCCTCCTGAGCCGTCTTCACCAAGCCGTAATGAACTTCTCTGGCACAAATGCTCGGATCATAATGCTGGGTCTGGACGCTGCTGGAAAGACCACCATTCTATACAAGCTGAAGCTGAACGAGGCAGTCTGTACGATCCCCACAATTGGGTTCAATGTTGAGACTGTTGAACCCATCCGCAATGTGACCTTCACTGTATGGGATGTGGGAGGTCAGGACAAGATCCGAGTCCTGTGGAAGCATTATTTCCAAAACACAGATGGCCTTGTATTTGTGGTGGATAGCGCCGACCCTGAACGATTTAAAGAGGCTCGGGCAGAACTAGAATCCATCTTGGAGTCTGATGAAATGAAAGGAGTACCCTTCTTAGTGCTGGCTAATAAGCAGGATGTTCTTGGTGCCAGGAGACCCGGTGAACTGGTGGAGGAGTTGGGTCTGAGAAGCCAAAGAGGACACCAGTGGCATGTCCAGGGATGCTGTGCCACCAATGGTGATGGACTTGTGGAGGGCCTGGAGATTCTCACTAACTATGTTAAAGACTTCAAGAAAAGTAAACCATACTGAACTGGAAAAGAGATCTTCCGCCATGTTCTCCAAACAGTTCTGAAATACTTCCAACAGCTCTGCAATTAGGACTGTGAATCGTGTTCTACAAAAACCCTGTCGGTGACTCTTGGCTCCCTTAATCGCTGGTATGGTGATTCCAGATCTTCAGATTCTTCTTCCACAATCATTAACCGTACAAATATTACTTTTAATAGTGTCAGTTTGGACATATATAGTGATTAAGCATAATGGCATGGATGAGGTCCCCACGTGGTGCTTCCTTTTCAGTCCTGAGGGCACTTGTCCAAGACAGATGGCTTACCAGAAGTACCCATTTTCTGCAGGTTCCAAAACTGACTGAGCTCCTTAGACAAAGTCTCCTGATTGATTGACTGAGCTCCATAGACAAAGTCTCCTGATTGACTGACTGAACTCCTTAGACAAAGTCCCCTGATTGACTGACTGAGCTCCATAGACAAAGTCTCCTGATTGACTGACTGAACTCCTTAGACAAAGTCTCCTGATTGACTGATTGAGCTCCTTAGACAAAGTCTCCTGGTGGACTGACTGTGCTCCTTAAGGTGGCCATACACTCTACAACCATCGCAAGACCTTAGTCTTGCGATGGTTGTACAGGGATTAAAAAAACGTACGATCTGCCTATCTTGGACAGGCAGATCGCACTCTCGATCATCGCAAGCCCGCCCCCCTGAGGGGCGGGCTTCCGATGACCGCAATGCTGAACGGGCAGTGTGCGCACACCAGCCCGTTCGGCATTTGTCTTCCGAGCACCGTTCTAACCAGCCGAGAATCGTACGATTCCCGGCTGGTTTTCGAACATGCTGGTTCGACAGAAGACGTGCGACCGTACAGTAGAAACGGTCGCATGTCTCCGTTCACACTGCTCGATTATCGTACGAAAAACCGATCGCATACGATTATCGTGCAGTGTATGGGCACCTTTAGACATAGACCCTCTAAGGAAAGCAACTACCCTTTGCTTCTGCTTTATTTTAAAGTAAGTGTCTTCCAGGCACTTGGGTGTTGTACTACAAATGAAGAGTTAAGTTTGAAGCTGCATGGCACTTATTTGATGGACTAGACCTCAGCTTTTCAGGACCATTTACTTTAATTACACTTGATACTATATACTGTGTATATATACAATTTTTTTTATATTATGTGTTTTTTTTATTTTGGGAATGCGTACAATTCATATTCTTGGGAATATAAAAATAAAATGTCTTGATCTTTAATTTGGTGTTGTATGTTTTCCGATAAATCTTTTATAGAACAAGTAAATCAAATATAACATCTCAATATTACAAATCCAAGTTACTTTATAAAAATAGCCTCTGATATTATTTTTGTGTTTATTTTTAAGAAATAACTGTTCCAAAATGAAGTAAGGCAACATTGAATTAAATTTTGTGGCAAAGACTACTAATCTATATTAGTGCCCTAGAAGTCTGTAATGGAAGTGGCAGCATTGATGTATAAAGGGGTAATAGCAGTGACCTCTGCTAGACTCATGGGACTTGTCCCCATTCTCTCATGGTCTTTTGTTGCATGTCTGCAGTCGCTGATCATCATTCTCTTGAATAAAAATTTGGAAACGTTAACCATTTGCAGTGGGGCTACCTCGCACTGCAAGGGTTAACTGCTTTTTTTTCAGGGGGGGGGGTAAAGAAGATTTACTCACCAGATCCACAGTCCTGCAGCAATGACCCTTCACCTCTCCCCCCTGTAATATGTCCCTTTGCACCTTCATATCTAATAGATCTGTATAGGCATGATGATGTCCATAGACTGCCGGAAACCTGGGGAAGAAGAGGCTGTGGGGACTAGTCTAGCAGCCAGGCGTGACAGAGGATCATATCTACCGCAAGACAAACAAGGCATTTGCCCAGTACGTTCCAGGGGAATGGCAAATGCCTTGTTTGCCAAGGGCAGATATGCCTCTGGGGCTACCCCTGAACTGCAAAGGTTAAAAGGAACTTACCCGATCCTCTGTCCCATCTCCCAAACCAGTGAGGCAGAGCCTCACCTGCCATTACCGGTATCGGTACCAATACTGGGCATTTTTACAAGTACTTTCACTCGCCCACAAGACCATATGGGCCCTGGTGAAACCCCACACAGCCCACCTGAGAGCCTGCACAGTCCACCTCAGAGCCTGCACAGCCCACCAGAGACCCTGGAGACAACAGGCCGCCACCCCAGAACAACACAAGTATGTGGATTCATATTATTCTGCATTGCTGTATAATGTATTGCTGGGATTTGTAGTCCTGTACAGCTGGTGTATTTCTGCATTGCCAATAGCGCAACCTGTCAGAAGCTGGATACAACGTGTGCACTGTATCCAGCAACTGATAGGTTATGCAAAATGTCTGGGGTGCCTAAGTTTAGCCTTGCCTAGGGCAGCACAAAACCAAAATACACCACTGGGTATCCCTACTGCAAGGGTTCATTTCTCAAAATCCTGGCGGTCCTTTTTAAGTATGTCTGCAGTCACTGATGTCCTCTCAAGCATTTCATATAGTCAGCATTACGTGCGGCCCTTTAATGATGTTCATGTGTTCTGGAATTTATTATATATATGTACATGTGGGCTGGGATCTATAGAGCATACATGTATATAGAATAGATCCCCAAACACATGTACATACGATAGATCGCAGGGATCTCTATAGCAGTGTGCGGGGATCTATTACACATTGCTGTGTGTAATGATTAGTCTCCATCGCACTCCGCTCTGACCAGCTCCTCACCTTTAGCACTAGGATGGCAGCTCCCCTGGGTGCTGCTGGTCTGGCTGGGTTCAGTCTCTCCCTCCCTCCTCAGGGGGTCCTGGAATCCTGGCACCGGTCTCTAGCTGTCCATTTTCACGACTCTGCTGCTCATTGACTGACAGCGGGAGACTGCCCCTGCCCCCCAGCCACTTCCTTTTTCTCCTTAGCTGGAATGCAGTCTTGAAAAGCCAGTGCAGCGTTCAGGCGTTTCTTTTGGCTGTTGTTGCTGACTGCCTCGCTGATTTGGGGGTGGCATTTTGCTACCCCCCCCCGGAAGGTGCTGCCCAAGGCAAACGCCTTGTTTGCCTTGTGGTAGATATGCCCCCGGATGTGAGGGGGCACAGCTGAGGACCCCTGTATATCCTGTAAGTTGACAACCACTGATATAGTGACTATTATTACTATTTATTTATAGTATTCCATATTATGGAGCAATGTTCAGTTAATGCTCAGTGGCCTTTTCAATACCCTACACTAATATTATGTATCAGTTCTGCCACAGAGATGTTAAACTGCCCAGTTTATCTGTTTATCTTTACAGTTTATAGCTACACTAACTCAAGTTATCTCTAATTGTTTAGACAATAAGAAAAGAGAAGCAATTCTATTGTTTATAAATCAAAGAATTAATAGAAAACAAAAGTACATGAAAAGGCAATGAATATTAAAACATTGATAGATGCAATTCAAACAGTATCCAGTAAGTGGCAGCAAACCACTATAGTCATTTTGGTTCAGTGCCTTACACCTAAGTACTCATTCACAGGGCTGCAAATACAGTACAGGCATATGGGCATACAGCTTAAAATATACCTGTATTTGCTATGCCAGGGGTTCCCAGCTACTGTACGTTTGTGTCCATTGGATTGTATGGACAGAATATATTGTGCACTGGTATCAGCATGTGAAACAAAACAAATGGCAAATGCACTCATCAACTTATCACCAGCTTTAAAGCAAGGTGCTCATGGAAGGGCTTTATACAGTACAACAGCAAAAAGTTTCCCAGCACACTCACCAGCCAGCATACAAAAAAAACCTGTCTAACTGCTAAGGTTAAAAACAGAGGTTTTAGATACACGTCTTCTGCAGAATATGTGAAAGCCGCACCGCCTCGTCAAGGCTCCTCTGTGTAGTGCGGTCCTAACTCTAACCTATGAGAGTCTCCATCTTGGAGCACATGTAGCAAAAGATAAAATTGGGTGCAGCTTCGCCAGGAGGCAGCCCAACCTCCTTAAAGGCAAAGGGACACACAAGGGACCCCGCACATCCCAATGGCAGCTGAGACCCCCAGTGTGTCACTGCACCAAATCAGTCAAGCAAAACCTGTACCCAATTGTATCTTTTGCTACATGTGCTCCAAGATGGAGAATCTCATAGGTTAGAGTTAGGACCGCACTACACAGAGGAGCCTTGACGAGGCGGTGCAGCTTTCACATATTCTGCAGAAGACGTGTATCTAAAACCTCTGTTTTTAACCTTATCGGTTAATCAGGTTTTTTTTGCATGCTGGCCGGTGAGTGTGCTGGGAAACCTTTTGGTGTTGTACGGTATCAGCATGTAAACACAAGTACGGGAGTTTACAACACATGTACACAAGTTGCCAAACGTGAAACTCCAGCATTTAGGAACGTATGCCCATACGCATGTATGTGTAAATACTGGTACTTGTGTTGACGAGCATATAACCGTGTATTCTGTCCATATAATCCTACAATACAATAAGATTGAAGACGTGTGTGATACTAATTGCAGAAAACAGTTACTTTGAAATATCACTATGATCCAATTATTTTACATTTTTTCTAGGGAACCAATAAATCTGACCAGCCATGTTAGAATATCAGTAGTCTATGTCTTTTCCCAATTTCTTTGCTTTACTTGATCACATACCAAAGGCATGCAGGTATACAACACAAGACACATTTATTTAATCACTTCTTGGTTTCAAAAAGCTGTAAGAGTACCAACAAATGTGTCCATGTCTGTATCTACATCTAGAACATTGACAAACTTGCACCTAGATGAGCGAGCGACAGAACTAACAATTACAATAGTGTTGGTGCAATGCACACAGTATGCTTAATAGCAAGAGAGCTGAAATAGGAACTGAAGACGTTTAGAAAAAAAGTGTGTGAGAGGATTTAATAGACAATGCTAGAGAAGCCAAGGTGCAGTGCAAAAAAGCCAGCGATGTTGACACTACATTTTATAGTTTGACCT